GGTGGGGGAGGCAGGGAAAGAAAGGACTAGAGTCAAAATAAGGGGGGAGGTGCAATTTTATGGGGAATATAACCAAAATGAAAATGCATCCATTGTACAAAGATGAAAAATGATGTAAGTATTATATAAAATAAGATATTAAAAAAATAGATAAGGGAAATTGATAAGGTTGTGGTGGGAACCAGCTTAAGACCATCCCCTTGACCAGGACCTACAGAGCTCAGGAATGAGGAAATAGAGTCAAGACACATTTTGTGTCAAAGGTCTACACCCAAGGCCAAATATCCCAGCAGATAACTGGGAAAAACTAGGGTGGAGGGAGCATAAAAGAGAGCCTCAAAATCTTCTTCCTTCTCCCAGGATATCTCCCCTCTTGCCCCAGCTTCCTTGCAGGGCACTTAAATAAATCTACCTTTTCTGGTGATTTCTTTCATTTCCCCTCCTCCCCCATACCTCATACCTCCACCCTACACCCAATTTTCCCTGCAACACATCACTCAAACTTAAAATACAAGAATTATCTTTGCAAGAAAACAAAATAACTAGATAGCAATTTGGTTGGTTTAACCAGGCCTCTTTCTGATGAAATAAGAGTTGCTCTTGAAGCACCTGCACCCCTATGTTTATAGCAGCACTATTTACAATAGCTAAGCTCTGGAAACAACCCAAATGCCCAAAAATAGATGACTGGATCAAGAAGATGTGGTACATATACACCATGGAATATTACTCAGCATTCAAAAAAGATAAACACATGCAATTTGCAGCAACATGGATGGCGCTGGAAGGGACCATGCTCAGCGAAATAAGCCAGAAAGAAAAAGAAAAATACCGGATGGTCTCACTCATAGCAGGCATCTAGAATACTTAAATAAGGGACCAGGAAAAAGAATAACTATAAGAAAGAAAATATCAAAATCAACAAATAACTATGAACAAGAGACACTCTATGGGGGTTGGGGGGTGGGGAAAGGAGGGCTTGGGGTCAAAATAAGGGGGCTGTAATTGTATGGGGAATATAAAAATAAAATTTAAATAAAAAAAGAGTTGCTCTTGATATTCTTTTTGTTCAGTAACTCTAATAATCAATGAGGACTCTGAAGAAGACATTGCTAAATATATTGTATTCATATCAGAAGGAAGGGGAAAAGTCTGGCTTCTCTAGTTGTTAAAATCTCAGTTACAAAGGACTTTATAAAGACTCACAAAAGCTTTATGGATTAAAATAAGAAAAGCTAAATTTTTTTTTGTGTGATTTTGTGCATACATTAATTGGTTTCTCTTCTCACCATTCTGGTGAAGGTACTAATACTATACCAGTGTTACAGGTTTAAGAAAATGGAGGCACTGAGAAGTTAGAAACTTCCCAAAGTCACACAGCTAAGAAGAGAGTTAGGATTTAAACCCAGGAACCCTGGGTTGGAGGGTTACAAATTATCCAATTTGTAATAGAGTAAATGATTGTTCTATCTTTACTCAAATGATATTTTGAGTAAGAAGTGAAATCTTTTCAATTCTACTAAAGGTCCAGAAACCATGACTAGGATCAGTGAATTAATAGAGAAGATTGGAGCTCAGTAAAAACAAAACATAACCTAACTTTTAGTGTTGTCCAACAACAAAATGTGGTGTGAGGTAGGGAGTCCTAGCTACAATGAACACCCTGGCTCAAGAACCCAGGTCTTAGAGAGTGAATTCAATTCCTAGCTCTTCAGGTAGGCTATGGAAACAACCCAAATGCCCCAAAATAGATGACTGGATCAAGAAGATGTGGTGTATATATATATATATATATATATATATATATATATATATATATAATGGAATATTACTCAGCAATCAAAAAGATAAACTCATGCCATTTGCAGCAAAATGGATGGAGCTGGAAGGATCATGCTCAGTGAAATAAGCCAGAAAGAAAAAGAAAAATACAGATGGTTTCACTTAAAGGACAAATGTTGAGGATACAAATAAGGGATCAGGGAGAAAAAAAGTTATAATAAAGTGAAAAGAAAAATCAACAAACAACTATAAACCAGAGACATTCTGCAGTGAGGGGAGAAAGGAGTAGGATCAAAACAGTGGTGGGAAGAGCACAAGGCACTATGGTGATGCTACACGGGTGAATGGGTGGTAGGAATTTCACAGGGACTATAACTGAGATAAGAAAGCATGCATTGTACAAAAATGAAGAACAATGTAAAAATATATAAAATAAAATAGTAATAATAATAATTAAAAAAAAAAAAACAAATCCTAGCTCTTCGATGTCTTACTCTGTGCAAGTATCTAAGGCAACTGAATTTCTTTTGCTCAGTTTCATTCTTAAACATCAAAGTAAATATAACAAAGCAGCCAAAATGAAAAACAACTCTAAGTACCCACCATACATTATTTTGGATAAAGTAATATATTTAAAGTTCACGATTCATTATAGATCACCATCAAGAATTCATTTCCTTTCTTCCAACGTCATAGGATATGGAAGCTCAACAGAGCTTACAAGAGATCACATAGGAATAGAAGAGATGGGACTAAGGATTCTTGCATCGGGAAAGGAGTTAATTTATCTAATTAACACCAAAACCTCTCCTGCAAGCTTGTTAGATATGCAAATTCATGGGCTCAACCCCTGACCTACTGAATCCCAGTCATCTTAGGGTGGAGCCCAACAGTCTGCTCTCTAGGTGATTCTTATGCTCCCTAAACTTTGCAGTGCACTGGCTAGGTGACCTCCAAGGGCCCTTCCGGCTCTCAATCTGTAGTTCCCGATTACCTCTCCCTCACCACCACCCATTTAGTAATTGCTACCAATTGTTAAGTGCCTCCTCATGCTCAAACATGAGAGTAAATACTTTGCATGCCTTTACTTAATCCTTGCACCAGAAGGGTTGGTATTATCGTCATCTACCCTGTAGAGATGAGCAAATTGAGAAGGCAAGGAAATAGCAGACTGGGATTCCCACCCAAGTCTTTGGGGCTCTAGCTACTGTAAGTACTCTGCTAAACCAAACACCACACAATCTCTCCCTCTCTCTTTTTAAAAAAGATTTATTATATTTATTTATGCATACAAGAGCTGGGGTGTAGGCCAGAGGTGTAGTGGGGTGAGAGGATTCACCAGAGACAGAATGGGGAGCAGAACAGTCGGATCCATTGAAATACACTGCCAAGGACAACAGCGGGTGAGACAGGAGAGGTCTGCTGTGCTATGTGGGTTAACTCCCTGGCCAGGGATCGATCTCATGCTGCAGTGGTTGCTGATAGCTTCATAATGGTGACTTAACACCTTGTGCCACCAGGAGGTCCCCACAATCTCTCTCTTAAAGCCAAGGGCCCAGAACGAGCTATTTGTTTCAAATGGATGCTATTTGTTTCAAATTTGATATGACACTGAAATTAATCTACTGACTGCAGGCAAGTCATAGAGACAGCTCATCTAGAAGGTCCCTGGCTGAATCCTCTCAAGACTAGAGAAGCTGGGAGGTATGAGGATATAGAGAAAGGGTGGTTCCTCCCAGGGGAATCTTCAGCAAGACCTGGTGGGTGGCAGCACCGCCTTAAGTGCCCTGCGATTGAGAAACACAGCTGTAGGTAATTATTTTCCCCTAGCTATAAATAAAATAATCCTAAGGAGAACAAGGGAGAAAGAGCTGTGGGAGAGCTCTACTGTGCACTCCCCCATCAGCTGTTCTGGATGATAAAGCAATGAGTTGCTTTTAACCACTTCCTGTCACCTGCTGCCTTTCTTGCTGCTGGTGTCTCTACAGGAAACAGTTCCTAAAACAGAATTTATGGTCAATAGAGTGTGCAGAAGAGGTGGTTTCTCCTACCACCCATGTCTGTGGTCCTGACGTAGAAGAAACCAGCAGCACAGACCCAAGATCCAAGGAGTTCATCATACAGAGGGAGAGACCTGGCTTCCCATCACGCTAGGATCCTGCCTTACCCTTTGCACCTGTCCCAGTCACAGGGATGCTTGTGTCTGGTGCCAGCCACAAAATGGGGCACTGTTCCTTGCAAATTGAGACCTCTATACCATACTCAATGGTCAGGATTTCAGATGATTTAAGGATGGCTCCTGAGCCTAGCCAACCCACCCCCATTGCCAAAATGCTACAAGAACACCATTACTCCTTTGAAGAAGCACTCTTTTTTTTTTTTTAAGATGTATTTATTTATGTGTACAAGAGCTGGGGTGCAAGGCTAAAGGTGTGGGGGGTGAGAGGATTCACCAGAGACAGAGTGGGGAGCACGACAGTTGGATCCACTGAAATACACTGCTGAGGGGAGCAGTGGGCGAGACAGGAGAGGTCTGCTGTGCCATGTGGGTAGCTCCTTGGCTGGGGATTGAACTCGTGCTGCAGTGACTGCTGATAGCTTCATAGTGCTGAGACTTAACCCCTTGCACCAGGGAAACCCTGAAGAAACATTCTTGTCTTGAAAATTGGCAAATACCATGAGGAGGGAAACATGCCATGCCTCCCCTCTCACGTGAACCTCTGTGGTCAAAAGTCACTTTTGATGACCATATGTTGATGGGTTTGAGGTTGGAGAATGCAGAAGCTCTAGATATTTGCTGTTTATAGTGTGGTTCTGGATCAGCAGTGTTGCAACCCCATGGCTTGTTAGAAATGCAGCCTACGGCAATGCTGCAATGCCGATTGAATCACAATCTGCACTTAAATACATTCCCAGGAGATCTGTGTGCTTATCAAAGTTTGAGAGGCACCGATCTAGGTGGCTAAGGCTGAAATGGGGCCACAAAGCAGCCCTATGGGGAAAAGAAAGGAAAATGGATTAGCCTGCTGGGCAAAGCATGCCTATTCTGGAAATGCAAGCAAAGTCCTTAAAAATGTTTGCAGAGCAGAAAGCAGCTGAAAGATCAAGGTCAAATCTCTACCCCTGGGTGAATTTTTAGATATAGAACATCTCTTAGTGACCCCGTGTGGACAGAACCCTATACCCCCAGTGAACAATAAGGAAAGTAAGCATATCACCTGGCTGACATCTGCTAGGCAATCTTCCAAGGCAAAATGCTGGTTAACAGAAAACTTCACATTACAATGCTCTGACAAATCGTCAGCCATCAAGACTTCCATCCAGCACACTTGTGGTTTGCAGTTCATGTTGAAATGTTTTCAGGAGGCGTTTGTCTTAGAGCCAACCTGTAAGCTTCCCAGAGGCTTGCAGTCCAAGGCCACAGAGATCCCAGGTTCTTGAGTCTGAAAGTGGGAAAGGATCATTGTTCTGGGTACTGCAGGCAGGGGAGGGATACGAGGGCAAGATCAGGAGGGCCTGTACTGAGACCTGGGGTCCCTTTGTGAAATTTCTTCTGATTAATTCAGGTCCAAACTGATATCCAGGCAGAAAAGAGTAACAAAAAAGGCTCTGAGGCAGCTGGTCACAAGTCCTTAAGAAGGGACTAGTTTATGTTGACCATACTGCCAGTCATTATAATAAACTGGAAATCAAAGTTCTAATTCAGTTATGTATTTGTTCCCTAAACATTGCTGTTCATCTGTACTCTAGTAATTTCAGTAAAATCTCATAGACATAAACTCAGTGAATCTGCCATGTCCAGTGCCCTTCAGCTGACTTAGGTTCTCTAGAACCGACTTCATAGTCAGTGATTTTGCAGCTATGATCTGAAATGCGCAGGAATGAGAGCTCTATTCTGCAGGAATCTGCAATGCATCCCTCTCTAAAGGGAAGCTACTCTAATTCAGATAACCTTAGACTGACTTAGTGTAGAGGCAGGAATGGGCCACAGGACAGGTTTTCTGATCCAGCAGACTGGGGTAAAGGAGGAGAGAGTCCTGGAGCCCTCAGTGGCTTTTGCAGGCTTTTATTGGGATTTACTGGGTACACAGCAGGCAGGGGTGCTGGGGGGCCGGAAGGCCGGCAGTCCTCCCAGCCCCCAGCAAGTCTTCACTCTATCTGGGCTCTCCGGCCTTCTCTCTGCTTCTCTGCTCTTTTGTTCGTTCTGCTGCTTCTCGGCTTCTGCTGGCGTCCCTGTGACACCGCCTTAAAAGCCCAGTCTTAGCCCAGGTGAATCCCATCTACCTATGCCCACACCCTACTCCAGGTGCCCGCCATCAGGCATGCATTCAGGACTGCAGGGTTCCGTCATCTTTCCTGATGGCGGGAGGGCAGAAAAGCCTGACATTTTTTCCTTACCCTACACTTAGGGTTCCAGGTAAGGATATATCATCTACCATGAAATGGAACACATCAATGGGATGATTAGCATAAAGGGAAATGTCAAATTCTAATGAGATGCATAGATACTGCTCTGATACCTATGGAATGTTGTGGCCAATCTCTGCCATGTTATTTATATAAAATATAAATCTCTTCACCACCTTTAATATGGTACTCATGTATTTCATTCTGTTTTAAACTCTGGAAGATTATTTTCTCATACCCGTATAGTGAGAATCGTGGACCCCGGTTAGGGGGAGAGCAGCAATTTGCAGAAGTGAAAATGGTTAAGCTTTAAATGAAATAAAGTAGATATGAACTATTTACTGAAACGAAATGAGAGAATTCAAATGAGGTAATTATCTGACACGCAATCTTGTTAGGTCTAGAATTTCAGGGAGAGGCCACTTGTTTACAGGCAAGGTTCTTATTGCACAAAGTTTAATTGGGGATGCTAACATGTACCTCTGCTCTAATGTGATGTCTCACCCACAATAAACCCCAGGGTTGTTTGTGAATCATGAACATATGGTGGCCTGTAGAAGGGTCTCTGTCCAAAAAGCCTGGAATAATTCGCCAAGTGCCTGCTTTTCACCTGACCCAGGAATTAGATTCACTCATTTCCTCAGGTGCTACTCCAGAGGTGAGGGTGCTAAGATTGAATGTGATTAGGGCAGGCAGACTACCTGTTGACCATGACAGTGAGGTAGGATGAGACCCAGACAGAGAAAAAGCAAGAGCAAGGGTCCTGTGGTAGGAATGAGTTTGACATGTATACATATATTTTTCAACAAACCTAATACCCCTTAGCATGTACCAAGGTCTGATTTAAGCACTTAGCAAATAATCCATCAATTAATACTCACAGAAACCTTGTGATATAAATACTAGTATGATTTGGAAAATACTGTTTTTTACAAATGAGAAAGTTGAGGCATGCAGAGTTTCAGTAGCTTGCCCAAGGAACATGGCCAGTCAGTCCTGGAGCTGGGATTCAAACCCAGGTCCGATCCCAGGATCTGTGCTCGTCACCACTTTGCTGGTGATCCCCTCACCACTGCACATTGGAATACTTTGGGGATTTTTCAAAACTACTGGTGCCTGATTCCCTCTCTCACCCATTTGGATGTAATTGGGCTGGACCAAGAGTTGGGCATTGGGATTTTTGAATGCTCCCAGATGTCTGAGATGGGTGGCAGATTTGGAGAGCAAGGGCACCATACCAAACCATGTAACATTTGAGGGTCTAACATAAATCAGTGTTTCTAGGCTGATGAACAGGGGAAGGAATGGTATTCTCTCCCTTATAGCACCTGATGCTTAACTTTTGCCTATTAATGCATTTGTCAAAATGGAATGCAGCCGCATAAATAAGAGATAGTCTAGTTTGAATTAAAAGGATACTGGCCACACATCAGCAGTGCATATTTGTTCTGGTCTCCATGCCAAGTATGTAGACACCTTATTGCCTGACCCTGGGAGAATGTTCTACAAAGCTATCAGGGGCTAATCAAGTTGGTGTAGGGCAGGCAAAGCTAGTTCCCAAACTCTGTGACTTGAGCTCATCCTTTGAGTGAGTCCATTCTTATTTTTTGCAGACGTTGATGCGCAAAGTGAGCCCTGGTTGAAACTTACCCTGTCAATGGATTGGTTCAAGGTCATGCTGCAAATTGCTTTCCATTCACCAGAAAGTTGGGTAAAATTAACTAGTTGTCAGTTTTGGGCAGTGGGCTAAGTCTATGCTGTGTCTGCATTGGGATCACATTCTGCATGGAAAATTAGGGAGACACCAGGGAATTTATGTTGTCTGTAGATACTATAGACCTGGAAAAGGACAAGAATTATGTCATTGGTTCCAAATATTGGGCTCAACATATTTCTAATATCTCTCTAAGGTGGGAGCTACGTTTCTGCTTGGTAGATCTCCGAGCAGGTTATATGGCCATTTTGGGCCCTTGGCTCAAGTTTGGAGTAGGGTGTGGGTAAGTTGACTGGAGCATCTACAAGGGCCCTTCCAGAGTGTCTCATATCTGAATGAGGGAAATGACTATTCTGGAGGCTGAGGAAATGCTGATTAAATAAGAGCACAGGGAAGTTGAGCGAACTTCCCGATACCACCTTTGGTGAGTTGTTGAACTGGAATTAGAACTGGAATTAGAAATGAGGATGCCTTTGCCAGGCATGGCTGATTAAACTCCACACCCCTATTCATGTGGAAGGAAGCCATCCAAGGACTCTCAAAAAGGCAGTGAAGCGATGAAAAGAGGTGATTAAGGCACAGATGCCAAGAGCTGGCTCCATATTACTTACAATCCTACAGCATAACATTTTATGTGATTATAATGTTTCACGAGGGTAGCAAAGACTGTGCTATAAAATGGCCCATCAAAGTCCCAGCTGGTGAACCAGGGATTAAGAACAAAGCTGCAGGTTAGGAAGCCAATGTCATCCACATTCTCCATTCGTATGTACAATCAGCATTCACAAGGAATGTCTCAGAGCTGACACCCAGTGTAAGGATTTATGCAAATGTTCATTCCACAGAAGAAAAGTCAGATACTTATCAGACCCTTGATTTAATTCTGTGTCTCCAATCGTCCTAAAATGATGACATGCTTAGAACCTACATGAGTTGTATTTATTTCTGACTTCAACCACTTAGATCACCTTGGAGATTTCATCGAAGAAATAAGCCAAGGTAATGATGTTGGTAATATGAGTATTAACTAAATGACAGGCATCTATGAATTCCAACCTATGGATGGTGGCAAAGATACAGACGACATGAAAGGGCCATGAGAGGATTCACAGTCTTCTTAGGGTTCTAGAAACCAGGCGGCTATTACAGGTAGTCTGAATCTTGGGGTGTGTGTGTATGTGTGTGTGTCTGCCTCTCTCTCCTCTCTCTGTGTATATATATACATTGTTTGTATATATGTACACTCTATATATTTATATACATGCACACATATACACACATTCATATACACATGTATATGTATATACACATTTTAATGTGGATTCTAGTTGAATAAAAAGTTTACTGATATCACATTGATTTTTGTCATTTTCTATTTTCTTATTTCATTTTCTATTTCATTTTTTCTTACCACCATTCCTTATGTCTACTTGTCCTTTTCCCCCTCTATTATTTTGCCTGCTTTGTCCTTTATATATTATGTCCTATTTCCTCCTTATTAACCTTAATACCCCCATGGTGTTTATTAAAGTCCACTAGTTCTGTAAGTATTTTACTTTATCTAATAGTCTGCTCTATAGATCTTTCTAATATTTGTTTTTTTGTGATTCTGCTTTGCTTTCCTGCACACAAATCCTTCAAGCTCTTCCTGTTTTGCTGAAAATGACCATATCTCATCTTTCCTTATGACTGAATAATATTTCATAGTGTTGGATATCCACTTCTTCTAGATGCAATCATCTATTGATGGACATTAGGTTGCTTCAATGTTCGAGCTATTGTGAGCAGTCCTGCAGTAAATGTAGAGCATTATGTTTTTTTGCATTGATGGTTTTTTATTCTTTGGATAGATGCCCAACAGTGGGATTGTTGGGTCATACACACTATTTCCATTTTCAGTTTTTTGAGGTAAATCCAGATCACTTTCCCTAATGACTGCAACATTTTGAATTCCCACATTTTTTATTTTCTTAATCAGTAAACACTAGCAATTTAATAATAACTACTCTGCTCCTTTGCCTTGAAATAAAAGGGTTATTTGGGTTAATGATGTTGTAGTAGGCAGCAAAACCAAGTACCGGCAATGTGGGAAATGTGTACCTGCCCCCTCATGCTCCAGGCTGGTAGAGTTCTAGGTGGAAGAATTCAAAATCTGCCTTCAGACCCTGGACAGAATCAGGCCACTGGACAGAGTGGCGGTTGAGAGTGCCAGGGCACGCGGGACTCACCTACTCTGGAGAGAGGAAAACTATGTCTTAAGGCTTTAGCAGAATAAATCCAGGGAGGGAAAAGATTGGACATGGAGGGTCTGGAATTGCACTG